TACTGAAGGGCATTTTTAATTGCTCAAGCCTTCCAATTTTTCTAAGAATCACAACCTATCAGAATAGAACACCATTTTGAAATGAATATAATATTTAAGCTGGTATTTATCTGAGTTTCTCATCTCCTTAAGGTCTTTCCCTCAATGGAGGCAAGCCACAGTGGGCAGGAACACTAACAATGTAAGAAAAAAAATGTCAGGTGAAAAGAAGACTGGATACTCCTATGAACATCTGCCCATGGAGACAACAAGCAAAAGGAGTAAGGAGAGAGACCACAGTGTGAAGTTTTTAATAACAGTGTTGATGAATACAGAAAGGAAAACAATCTCACCTCTCCCTCAAGTCCAAACAACAAAGTGTAGAGAATGATGTCTTCTGCTTGGACTAGGAGAAGGGAAGTAAATCTGAACTAGGTCTAGCATAGTAAACCTTGGTGCTAGACAGAGCTCTTTGGTCCTGGATCCAAGGACCTGTCAACTAACTTTGTGGAAGCTTTGTATCCTAGCAAACGAGGGTCTGCCTCACACACCCTCCTGTCAACCTTGGGCAGCATCAGAAGAGCAAAACTTCACCTGCTAATGTACAGGGCAAAGAGGAGAATAAAATTTTCAGTATGAAGCCTGTTGCTAGATATACCATGAGGAAACTCAGCACCAGATAGAATCCAAAGGTTCATAACCCTGAAACGTGACCCTAATTGGTCTTATCAATAAAAACCCAGAGTCAGATATACAGGTAAATGCTGAAAGAACAGAGAAGCAAAGAAGCAGCCACAGTCACCTCTTACCTCTCCCAATCCTCAGACTGAAAGGGCCAAGATCCTGTCTATGACCACTTTATCGCCTCCCCTCTCTGCCCAGTCTTATCACTTTCTCTCTCCTGTCTGTACAGACTTCCAGATCTCTGTTGTTAACTAGTGTCCAGCTCCAGCCTCTGATCTCCAGGCAATCTTTATTTTTCAGAACACAAACAAAATGTCACACGACATAAACCAAGGCCAGTAGTGGCAGATGGTGCCTTTAGAGCTTCCCTAGTTCTAGGCTAACCCCTAACTACTGATCTAACTGGGGCAGTGATTTTTATCTGTGCCTGACAGGGTCATTCACTGGTAATCTTTGGAGCATCCTCTTACCCAAGCTGCCTCCTCCCCTGAGCCATGAAAATCTAAGAATGAGAGTTGGCATTTGCATTGCTTCAGTTTGCAGTGTTGCAAGCCAAAGCCAAGATCCACTGGACTAAGCAGTTACATTTAGTAGCTGATTCTTCCATGTTACTTTATATTGCACAGACATGTCATTAAATAGAGTCATTATGTTCAAAGGAAGAGTAATAAACTGAATGTTTTCTTATGAACTCACTGGCTGGATTTCCTAGCATGCACTACACACTGTCAGGAGGCAGATGACAAAGCTGTGGTAATTGAATTCAGGGCTCTAATGAGATCTAGATGGCAGACTCAGCAGCAAGTGTCTGTCAGAGCTCTGCACTCCTGAAAAATCTAGAAAATGTCTGTAGCAACTGCAGGTAGAACCTGGTTTTGTTCACAGCTCCTCCCTCCAAAAACACTTGCTACCCCAAGCAGCTGTCCCTATGCATGAATGAATGGTCCTCTGCCAGTAACCATCAGCAGCTGCTGAAGTCAGCTGCTGGAACAGGGGGAAAGTCCAGACTATGAAGTCATTCTGTAGCTATTGCCAGGATCTGGGTGAGCCCAAGATCACTCCTGGTGCAGCATGAGTGACAGAGTAGAAGCTGTAAATAATCTGCTTCAAATAAAATGAGTAAATAAAGCACACGCTTTGACAAGAAGCTGTTGATAAATTGCCATTTTCTTCAAAACTTAAAATATGTGTTGAAATGCTAAAATATATCTTAAAATCTCAGGACTAGCACATTGTTTACTCAGCCCCTGTTGATTTTTTGTTTGTTTTTAATCTTCTCTATTTGTCAGGTTTTATAAATATGAGCTAAGATGCTTTAGGCCACTTTAAATGAATGATTTTTTCCTTTATCCCATATGACAGCAGTTTATATATTTTTAAAGTGTTGCTTTTAGTGAATTAGAACGTGCATTTAAAGATTCTAACAACCTCTGTACCACTCAATACCCATTTCCATTTCTCCAACATCTAGTGATCGTTAGTTAGCAGTGGGAATGAGCATGACAATCCATAAGGCACAGAGGTCCTGGGACCTTTTTTTTTTTAACACCTTCTGGCCCCACATAATGCTGTAACCTGTTCCCATCCTCTGTTGGTTTGTATGCCTCAAATATCTTACAACACACTTTAGCTTAATATCTTTTTAATTCAAGACATGTTAGTTAAGCAACAGGCCTGTGACAAAAATATAAGAGACAACAGTCTAGAAGCAATTCTACAAATACGTGTCATTGTATGATTCATTTGTAAATATAAAATGGCCTTGTTCTTAGTATGATCGCTTAAGTCATGAGCAAGGTCTTAGGAAGACCCTTGCCTTTGTGGTAGCAGCAGAGCACTTACAGAGAAAAGAAAGCCCCCTCGTTCATTTGCATGAAGTCTGGGAGCTGAGGAGTGCTGGACCAAATTAAATCAAAATCCCTTGTTTGAGCTGGATTGGGATCAGTCAGGGTCCCAACAAAATCAAATTACTTTGTGGCCTACTTGTGGGTCTGGAAAAGGACAGACCTCTCTATCCAAGTCACAGTGACTAAAGACGAAATTGAAGGAAGAATTGTTCATTAGAGAATCCTGTGAGGTAAGACACACACACACACACACACACACACACACACACACACACACACACACACACACATGCCTTACATCACTCAGGATCCCTGATGGCATCCTCAAAAGAGGATAATACAAAGTCAGGGTAAAAGAAGTTTTGCCTGCTAATGGGAATGGCAAGAAAGAGAAAAGACAAATATAGGAGCAGAGAGGACACAACCACACAACCACTACCATAATATGGAACAGTAGAATTGTCCAGTAGTGTCTACTCAAGGTTGAGAGCCAAGCGACAATAAGCTGACAGAAAGCAGCCCCTAATTTCATCATGATTCTTCATTGGCCAAATCACACAGTAAATCAAAAGAGCATGGTAAAAGTGAACAGAGCATCTTTGTAGGTCAGACACCATCCAGCTCACAACTACTGTAAACAGTGGCTTCTCTGAGCTGTAAGTGGATGGCACACCAGTTCTGCTACAATCCACACCGACTTCTCATTACTGCCAAGTTTCTTAAGTCAAAATACCCTCACCTTTGCCATAGTCCACTCATGCCACAATGACACATTGTTTTTGTTTTTGTTTTTCTTTCTCCCCCCCCCAGGCACTCTACAATACTATGTAGTTTCCACATCTCCAAGAGAATTCTTGCCAAGGAACTTGTAAGAAACACAAATTCCAACGCCCCCACTGAGATTGAAATGTGAGACGGTGGAGGATGACAGCCTGTGGTGTGGCCAGTAGTCCAGGTGTGTATGTCTCAGACACACTGAAGCTGGAGGACCACTCCAGCTCTACAGAAACCACTGTCTCTGGAATGATTAAAGAACTCTGCCACCTAGACTCTAAGCAGCTTTCTGTCTTTGTATTTCTTGTCCTTTGTTTTGACCTTTGTTCTTTGTATTGTCACCATTTGTGGAGGAAAAAGCAACCTGTCATCCCACGTACCCATTTTAAATCTTAAAACGAAACAAAAACAACAACAAATTAACTCAAACCAATAGAAAACCCTAACCCTCTAGGACATTATGTGATCTATACCTGCCTACCATACCCCAAACCACCCTGATCCTGGTCAACTCCTCACTGGAAGTAAATATAAGGAATGAAGTAAAGGCTGCTGTTCTCAGAAGCGTCCCCTTATACAATTTATGTATTTTATACTTATTTATCGTTGCAGGTTTACAAGCCTCGCTGAATGCTTTATACTATGGCAGTATGAGAAGTGAGATTCATAGCTTGCTGGCTATTACTTCTGCTGCTGAAGAACGCAATATAATTCAAGAGGAAAAATAAGAAGGCACCCATTTGGGCTTCAAGTCTAAAATCTTCCAATTCATCTTTATCAAAAAAATAATACTGGCATTTCAATCTTTTATCCTGATTCAAAAGTGTAACTTTCAATTTAGGATTCATGAATCTAAGGGGCAAGAGTGTGCTTACATATTTTAAATCCATAACACATTGGCTAGACAAGTCTTTGAATAGATCAAAGACTTTACAGTTGGGATCAAAATGTAATTGAGCTCCAATGTAGCTGATATTCATGGTTTTAATAGTTGTATCTTCTTGACCAGAAACTAATACATATAATTAGATTCTACAGAAGTGTGGGTACTGCAGACATTCCTGGCATATGTGACTTTAAACTTCAGAACCAGTGGCACAAGTGACCAGTTGGAGCTTCAAACTACATGTGGACTGCTGTACTTACACTCAACTCCAGTTGGGTTTGGATTGAGACATGCTTTATCTTAGCAGCCATCATGGGCATTTCTGGAGTAATCCAGCAGAATCAGGAGAAATCTGGCCATACATCCAAACACTGTGCTCTCTCAGGAATTTGATCCAGAAAGGCATTATCACATCTGTTACTTTGTTCTGCACAGAATGAGAGGTCCTTTGCCCCTATCTGATGGGACAGGTACTCATGGGTGACAGTCCCAAGGAATCTTGGCTTAGAATAAGAACTGCAGGTTAGCTGAGATGCCTCCTCAGCTGAATGCTTGAGACTTCCCAAGCCCTGGAAGTTGGTAGAAAAAGTCTAGCAGAGCTTTGCTTGTTTTAACCATTATCCTCTCCTTCTCAGCAATGGGGAAGAAACAGTAAATTCTTGCAAGAAAGAAAAAGAAAGAAAGAAAGGAAGAAAGGAAGGAAGAAAGAAAGCAGGAAGATAAGTGGCACAGACAGTGCCATTGGGACCATAAGTATTAGCCAGCAGCAAGAGAATTAGAAGCAGAAGAAGTGAAGGATTGCACTTAAGAAGTACATTTTGTAAACACAACTATTAGGGTCAGAGTCTGGTCTCTGGTAGGCCTAACAAACTGGGCTTCACCACCCATCCTTACCCAAGGAATCCAAGAGCAGAGAAAGGTTATTTATGGTCATGGTAGGAAGAGGAGTACATGAGGAGGTCCACTGACACACCTCTCAAGCCATCTTCAGGGTCTGGACATGAGGTTTAGGTTTAAACAGAGGGCATACAGTACATGAGGTTTAGGTTTAAACAGAGGGCTTATGATAGTCATAACTGAGTACTCCTCTTTCCCATCATTGACCCGCCTTATCTCCACTCGGTCTTTAGAGCAAGTTGTCAGAACTGGATGAAATCTCATCCTGAAGACAAGTCCCCTCTCCAGCTGGTACCAGGGCATCATCATTTCACTTTTTCCTGTTCCAAGGGATCCACTTCCAGAGTCTGAAACCTAAGGGAGAGGCACATGTGTGTCGAATGTCTTCAGCTCTTTCAGGGTAGTTAAAATTTCTTCTCGCTTTTCACTGAACTGCTTTTGCAACTGCGGGGTGAAAACAACAGGTAAGCAGCTGATCCCTATCATGGAGAAACTAAAACCAAAATGATACGTTTATTTTCTCTACCTGCCCTATCAGATACCTCTGAGCTTTGCCAGATCCTGTTTGGAATATGCAGGGAGGGTCTAGTTCATGCTAAATTCCAAACCAAGTTCTGTTATTTCGCTTTCACTCTGACTCAAAGGCCTGCAAATCTATGTGCTTTCTCAGTCATATAAGTCATAATCCAGGGTATCCTGCAGGTTCTCAGACTCCTTAAAAAAATAAGGAGTCTGTGAAAGGAATTACAGCTTAGAGCTGCTAAAGGAAGCCTCACTAACTTAAAAACCTAGTTGTCAAAATAAAATACAGAGCAGAGAATTTTTCAGTTTGAACTTGGGGGACAGGATTAATTTGGAAGCTTGTTTATACTATGTACTAATTTTTCTCCTTAGCAATTTAATAGAGGGTGTAAATATACAAATTGAGCCATGTATCCATTGCTGGCTTTGTGCTCTCTGGAACAGTTTTATACTGTAATTTGACTGAATATGTAAATCTTTGTGAATTATGCAAATGCATATAATGTGAGATGCAGGCTAGAATTCAGTAAAAATGTAATTCAGGGTATCTTTCTTTTCACACATTTCAGATCAATCTGAGACAAATTCTGGAAGCCATCATGACTCAAAGAAAAAGGATGAACCATGACAGTGACTTCATGAAAATAAAAACAAGACTGGTTTTACACACTGAAGCTCTCATCTCTTGTACCCTAAATTTACCATACACTCAAAGACGAATGTAGCAGCAAGATGTGAAGATCTGGGCCTAAAGCTCCCTTTCCCTGCCATCTCACACCCCAGCTTCTATGGCTCCACATACAGTCGGCTGCCTTCTCCAACTTCATTGCCAGTCCCTCCAAGGGAAGGTGGAAGGTGCTCAGTTAGCCCATTCTCTCTTGAGAAGAGCTAATGTGATAGAAGTTTCTTTGTGAACTCCCTCCTTGAAAATGTTTCATCTTCCCTGAGATAACAGAGCTCCGAGCTCTTTTCAAATGTTTCTTCAGTTAGCAGTATCTTTCTCCTGCCACTTCTATACATTCCTTTAGTGGGATGTTCTCCAGGGCAACATCCTCAGTTCTTTCAAAGGGTTTTCCTAAAACAGAAACAGAGACATATAACTTTTTAGCTTAAGATTATTCTAGAGATTTTGTCAGTTTTCATGGGCATAAAAGATACCTTTAGTTAACCAGTCAAAGGCAGTCATGATCTGGTTCTTGGTGGCCCATTCTCAAAAAATGAAGAGAAATGTTTTCAAGTTGAGACATGTGAAGTGCCACTATGATACTCATGTGGACAAAGATGACAGATCCTGGGAAATGACCTTTGAATGAATGAGCAAAGAAAGAATAGTGTAGGAAGTCAAATGGAGAGTTAGAGTGGCTAAAGGGATAAAAAGGGAAGGAAATAAAACTATAAACAAGGGTGACAGTTAAAGGAGGCTGGTGATCAGAGGACAAACAATGGTGTCTGGATTTTTTGTCTAGCTATTTCTTTCAATAAATAAAATCACAAGCAAGCAAAACTATTACAATGCATGATGTAATTTTGAAATATTGAAACTGGTTGTCTAATCAAACCCAAATATGAATCTTTGATTTTTCCATTAGAGAGCATTTACCTCAACATTATACCCAATTCTTCATACTAATCATCCTACCTGCTATTTCTGTCTTGAGTGCATTTCCTGTATTCTGCTTGTGGCTATTCCATTCTTTTGAAATTTATTTTCAGCTTTTTGTTGCAGAGATAAACCATTCTGGTTCTCTCAGTTCACAGTCAAATTAGGTCATACAGCTATGCCCACAGCTATCATTCAATCTACTCAAAATGTATTCTGTAAGCGCTTCTACTATGTTCCATGTCCTGTACCTGCCACGTATTCCCCTCTCTAAAATAACACTTGGCTCACTATGCTGTATCAATTGATTTATATCTCCTTCATACATAATTCTCTTTTTGCTAAAAGATGGATGTGAATTAATGCAAAAAAACCCCACTATTGACAGGTAGATGCACTAAAGTCTGGGCAATAATCCCTTTGAGACTCTGATCCTTAAACACCCTAGTGTCTAGTATGATGACAAAATAGACATAAAGTCATGCCAAATATCATAAGCCAAACTGTGTCCTGAACTGACAGAAGAAGGAATTACTGGAACTGATAAGCTAATAAGCCCTGCAAAAAGCAGAGGATGAGTTACAACAGGGCATGACTGAGGTCAGCTTCATAAATGCTAAGCAATTACCTAGAGTACCTTTTATGTATCATTAACAGTAAGCATTTTTGAGTTAGGACTGGGACCATAAAGAAGAAGAACTCAATGAAATATTCTTAGCATCTTTAGTCTTTAAAGTATTACCAATGAAATTTCCATTATCTTGTAGTATGTCACAATTTTATTAAACTTGTAATTAACATTTCTTTCTTTAGCTACTGTACATTACTCTGTTATAAGATTCTTACAGCATTGCTACTTCAAAATCAAGCTACAATTCTTATATATTTTTAGACACAAACAAGTTACACAGAAATATCATTTGATTTTTTTCTGCACATGGTAGTTTGTCCAAAGCTATTCAACAAAAACAAAACCGAGATTTTTTTGCTATTAATGTTTTCTAAATTTGTTTAAGTTAAATTTTATTAATGAACTTGTTTATAATGGGTATCAAAATCTGGATTGTTCATACATTTAAAAATAAAATGTAAGCATACATAATATTCTACTATCAAATGGTAATTTAACTGAAATGCCCATTTGAAGTAGATGTATTACTCAATTAAAATGTAATAACATGTTAAAAGGTCATAAGACTTTCACATGGCCTTCTAGATGATACGTTTTGAAGGGCAAAAGCGAAAATGAAATGAATCTGTTGAATGGACATATGGAGAAAGAATGAAGACTATTGGCATGGTTGACTCCATCAGTGAAGTAAGTATTGATAAACAGAAAAAGAAAAACAAAAATAAACAAATTCATTTTAAAAGAAAGGAAAATAAGGTGAACTACATTTGAAATGATGTTGAAATGGGTATCACCTTAGAACATCAAATAGACACTACGTTTCAATGAAGTGCTCAGATATATGAGAGAAATTCAAGAAGGAAAGGATAGTTAGGACGAAAAGCACATGTGAGGGTATTTGTTATAGAATAAGGTGCTGGGGAAAGGTTCAGAAGTCTTAAGTCAGTAAATAAGAATCCATCCAAAAAAGATGAATTATAGTTTGCTTGTTTGTTTGGGTTTGGTTTGTGGCTTTTTGGTTTGGTTTGGTTTTGAGTTTGGATTTGTTTTGGGGGGCAGGAAAGGGTTTATTTGGCTTATATACATTGAATCAGTCCATTAAGGGAGGCCAACACAGGAACTTAAACAGAGTAGGAACCTGGAGGCAGGAGCTGAAGTAGAGACCATAGAGGAGTGCAGATTACTGGCTTGTTCTCGAGATTCTTATATTTACCAGGATCCTATAGACAGATCACTGAACTTTCAACACTCAGCAGCTTTTCTGTTGAAAAGTTCCAAATTCCCTCCACAATCGTCCCAAAACTACATGGTCAGGTCTGTCATAGCAATTCCCTATTGTCCTGGTACAAATTTCTGAAACTTCACAAGCCTGGCCTCCATAGTCTGCATTATTCTTGGTAATTTTCCCAGGGTACTAGTATTTCCCAAATGCTGGGATCTCCAGCTGCAACTGAGTTTCACTGTCACCAATAGCCTCTCCTGGGCTCTCTTTAGGGATTCTGTCCCTGTCACACATTGGCAAGTCTCAGCTGCTCTCCCTGACCCCATTCATGCCTCCAAAATCAGTACCACCTGGGTGACTCTTACACTACAACAATCTTTGTCAGCATAAGTTACAAATTAGGCCACCTCTGGAACACAGTGTCTATGTGCTGGCTCTCAGGAAACACTTCACAGAAGATTTCATATCAGTGATGCTGGTCTCTTCTTAATCACTGCTCATTTCTCAGTTTCAGATAACTGGCACCAATTGTCCCAAGTAAAGCAAAGTTTTCACTTTAATGGTTCTGGAATCTTGTAATCACACCCGATTCTTCAGCTTCAGCCTATTTTGTTTTTCCTGTGAACACCTCTACTCGATGACAAAGGGTAAACAATGTTCACTCTGACAGTCTAACCCAAGTAATCACAAAGGCTACAAGGTGAGGATTTTTGTTCATAGAGGCCTTCTGGCAAATATCCTTCTCTAAAAGCATGAGCTGTTTTCCTGCCAAAGGGCACCTTCCATCAACCTCCAAACATGAACCATTTTGTTCAATCAACAGCTCCCCTAGCATTAAGGAAACAGGAGTGCTGTATTAACAAAACTGGACCAAGATGATGTAACAAAACCTAAGTGAATGAAGAAAACATAAGTGTGCTTGTCTTTCCCTCACAACCCTTTGTGGTTTGGGTGAGTGAAAAGAGAAGTGTCCTTTGAAGTCACTCAGCATCTAAGCAGCTTTCATCTTCGGACACCCCTCTCTCACCATGTGCTTTATGCTTAACACCACAGTAATCCAGCAATGCCATTATGGTCTACTGTTATGCTTATAGCAACAGCTACCTGTAGAGTCCTCTAACATTTTTTTCTTCAGTCATTAACAAGTAGATGCATAGTCTTTTACAATACTCTCTGACCAACACCAGTTTGTCCACCTCTGCCCCAATATCAGAAGTGTTGATCAGTGACTTTCCACTGATTCTGCCCTTTTCTCTCCATATTTTTGCAAACTAGGATCTACTTTTTTATGTACATTGGTGTTTTCCTGCATAAGTAAGTCTGTGTGAGGGTGTCAGATCCACTGGAATTGGAATTACAGTGTGAGCTGTAATGTAGATGCTGGGAATTGGACCCAGGTCCTCTGGGAGAACAGCTAGTCATCTTAACCATTCCAGTCCCTTGAATCTACTTTTAAAAACCCTTTTCCAAAATATTCCTACAGTTCTATTTTGCCAACTGATGCTAATGATTGCAATTATTGAAACCAAGCAATGTTGCAGGAAATCACAAGTTTAACAATGAGAACAAATGCTTCGTTCGCTGATTAAGCAGTTAGAAAGGCAAGAATGACTCTCTCCCCAATGGTAAAGTCTAGAACTCTATGACAAGAGACAGCAAAGGAAATAGTCACTTAAATATTGTCTTTCCCAAGAATAATAAAATATGCAAGGCTTTGAGTGATAAAGTATTTTCTATAGTCAAATAAACAAATTCTAAGTCAAATCAAAGTCAGTGGGTGAGCCATTTTATTGGTCAAGCACTGAACAAAAGGAGAAAAGCACTGTGAGCTCTGTAGGTTGAGTAAATCCCTGTCTCTAGAACTGGTAAGAAAACAGAAAGCCCTCTGTCCCCAAAGTAGCCTAACCCTCTTAGTTAGAGATTAAGATTCCAGGAATCAAGTTCAAATTCAAACCCCATGAGTGACTACATTTTAAGTTCACCTGAACTTCCAACTTCAAGGTAAAGAGAAAGTGTGATGGATAAACCCAAGCTTAAGTACAGAGCTCTGGTTCTCTATACTGATCATCCTTCACCTGGTTGATCACATTTCCCCTGTCCCTGTAAGTGCATAACTCCCTTCCTCCTCCAGTATAAACATGCAAATGACCTCCTTTGGCATATTTACCTTCCTTCTTAAGGCTAACCTCCCACCAACTCCAGTTAATATAGCCTCACAAGGAGACTTGCATTCTACATGCCACAATGATGTAATTACTGGGTAATCTGTCAGTCTCCAGCAAAAACATCATGTGCAAAAAGATCCCAGATGTCCATATAAGTGGTTCTGCCACTTAGAATATATAACCCAGTGGAACTGATGGCAATTGAAGGTTTGCAAGCATTTGTTACTTTACAATGGACCCACTATAAAACCAATAGAGGGAGGAACTTTGCAGAACTTTAACAGTGAATATTTAAATTGTTTTATTCTCTACTTACACCTACTTCTCCTTTTGTAAAACCTAGGCCCTAGACTTTACAAGATCCTAGAAGAAATGAGATGTTTGCCAAAATAACCACCAAATTTCTTGAAAGTTAAGTTGCATGGTAAAAACAGATTGTTAGTTTACCCATGAAGCTATGAAACTGAGAGTAAATAAGAGCCTTCCATGGCAAAATCGGCACCTCCTAAAGGAACACATAAGACTTGGGAACGTGCACTTTAACTCCCTCTGGATCCTATTCATGCCACTTTATCAGTCTTGGGAGTTTTTCTAATCAGCTGGCTAAAGAGACATAAAAAAGAAAAACTACCAAACAGCTTACAAGGGCTTCGACATGGTACACTGGCTTGGCAGTGGATTGCTATGTCACGGTCATCCTATTCAGAATTGGCCCCAAACTTAGTGATGAAGGTAAATCCTCCTGGCAGTTTCAACCTCAGGTGTTGTATCTGTTTGTTGTAGAATTGTAGGCTTTAACGGACGCTGTAACAATACGCGACACACAATTACTGACAGTAAAGCTAAGTATTTAATGTAGAAAATTACTCACAAGATACAAAACCCAGAGGAGCAGTTTTCAGTGGCCGACCCGGAAGCCGATCTCCAGGAAAAGAGAGCGAGACTTCCTGTGCGCTGTCTTTTATGCCTTCCCCCGTAACGCCCCCTAGCCATGCCCAAAAGTGGGCCTGGCTAGTGACGTAGTTCCGCCTACGTACGTATACATCTTTACATCCAGCCGTATACGTCTTTAGTCCTGCCTAAAGTGGGTGTGATTAGCGGTGTGGTAAACCGCCCTTTTATTACCTCATCTATATGCGCCTCTAGTAAGTCACATGTTTAATGGCGGCATAGACTTAGTAAGTCACATGTTTAATGGCGGCATAGACTTCCTCCTACAATTCCCCTTTTAGTCTAAAAAAGGACAACTAACTTGTGTCCATGAACAAGATGTATCAAACTTCTATCTAAACCTAAACTTATCTGAAAGAAACACCCAAATATGAACACCTCCTTCCAATCCCAACTCTAAAATAATTGAAAACTAACACTAACAGGTGTAAACTATCTTATAATATCAATAGTAGGGAGAGGGGGCATGGAATTCTCAAAACTACTTCCTGCTGAGATGGGACAATGATAATTTCATGGGGACCTGTGAAAAGAAAATGTTAGTATAACAAAATCTCAGTAGATCAGACAGTCTCAGTATGGCAGGAGATGCTTGATTGAAGTTCCTGACTAGGGTTCTAGTGTTGATTGAAGCTCTTATCTTGAAGCTCTGGTCAGATTGTAGAAGATGTGCTGTTTCAGTTTCTTGGTCCGGAGATGTGTAGAGTGATGTAGTTTCAAGCCAGTTTCAGGATAGTGCTTGTCAGGTGGAGTCAATGATGTGGGGCAATTCAGATGCCTCCAGTCGAATCAGGTGAAGTCAAGGAAGTGGATCCTCATTCTCTTTCGGAAGCAGTTGAAGATTGCTGTCAGGAAATCCCTTGTTCCCTGGAAAACTCAAACATTACTGTTAACAAAGAAATATTTTAACTTTCATATGTATGCATACCGGAAGAGGTGACAATAGGGAAGATGAAAAACTTGGAGGAAATTAGACTGTTCAGAAAAAGAAATCCATAGATAACAGTCCCTCATTTTATTTCTTCTGTCTTATATCAATGGCTCTTTGATATAATACAGAAATTCTGAATTGTATTTAAATAATATGCTTGGGTTTAGAGTAGGAGAGTTGGGATTGGAAGGAGGTGTTCATATTTGGGTGTTTCTTTCAGATAAGTTTAGGTTTAGATAGAAGTTTGATACATCTTGTTCATGGACACAAGTTAGTTGTCCTTTTTTAGACTAAAAGGGGAATTGTAGGTGGAAGTCTATGCCGCCATTAAACATGTGACTTACTAAGTCTATGCCGCCATTAAACATGTGACTTACTAGAGGCGCATACAGATGAGGTGACAATAGGGAAGATGGAAAACTTGGAGGAAATTTGACTGTTCAGAAAAAGAAATCCACAGATAACCGTCCCTCATTTTATTTCTTCTGTCTTATATCAATGGCTCTTTGATATAATACAGAAATTCTGAATTGTATTTAAATAATATGCTTGGGTTTAGAGTAGGAGAGCCAATCCAACTCCAAAGCCAGCTTCAGTTAAATGAATGGGAACTGAGGTATGTGAAGAAATAAAGATAAAAGGGTACTATGAAAAAACAATAGAGAGAGATTTAGACTTTGATACCACACAGTGAGATACTGTTTGTTTGATGATCCTCAGGGTAGCTATTCATTCTTCTACAGGAATCCATAAGTCCAGTGAACTACTTTACTTATTTTTCCTGATTTATACCCTGCTTTACCTGATTTGTTTGCATCCGTGTAGAAGGTAAGAACTCCAGAAATAGGTGTTTGCCTCACGATACGTGGAAGAATCCAAATTGTTTTCTTTATGAATTTGATTCTCTCTGTATTGGGATAGTTATTACTAATACTTCCCAAAAAGTCACTGCAAGCTATTTGCCAATACTCATTATCCTTCCATAAGGAGGAAATTTCCTCATTCGTTAAAGGTACAATAATTTCAGCTGGGTCTTTCCCAGTCAGTTGACGAAGCCTTAATTTACCTTTTAATATCAAATCTGAGACCTTTTCTATATAGGTTTTCAATTTTTATTCTGTTTATGTGGCAGAAATACCCATTCTAGAATGATGTCGTCCCTCTGCATTAATATTCCTGAGGGGTATTCTCTAGATGGTAAAATAACCAGAATACAGTCCAGATTTGGATCCACACGGTCCACATGTGCTTCTAATATTCTCTTTTCTACCCATTCTAATTCTTTTTCAGCCTCAGCTGATAGTACTCGTGGGCTGTTTAGGTCTTTATCTCCTTTTAAAGCCATTTTCAGGTGTTTTAAATCATGCCCTTCTACACCAATAATCGTCTGTAATTGAGAGATTTCTCATAATAGTTTTTGAAGATCATTAAGAGTCCGGTAACGATCTCTTCTGATCTGTACTTTCTGTGGTCTAATATTCTGAGCACCTATTTTATAACCTAAATAGTTAATAGAATCTCCTCTTTGTATTTTTTCTGGGGCAATTTGTAATCCCCAGCGAGGCAAAATTTCCTTTACTGCCTCAAACATCTTTTCCAAAGTATCCTTATTTGAATCAGACAATAATATGTCATCCATATAATGATATATTAACGAATGTGGAAATTTTTTACGAATTATTTCTAGAGGTTTATTCACAAAATATTGACACAAAGTTGGACTGTTTAACATACCTTGAGGTAGTACCTTCCACTGGAATCTCTGTACCGGACGGGAATTATTATAGGTAGGTACTGTGAAGGCGAACTTTTCTCTGTCGTTTTCTTGTAGCGGTATGGTGAAGAAACAATCTTTTAAGTCTATAACTATAATTGGCCAATCCTTAGGAATTAGAGAAGGTAACGGCATCCCAGGTTGTAGAGACCCCATAGGCTGAATTACCTTGTTGATGGCTCTAAGATCAGTAACCATTCTCCACTTACCAGACTTCTTCTTGACAACAAAAACAGGCGAATTCCATGCACTAGTTGATTCCTCAATGTGTCCAGCATCTAGCTGTTCCTGAACAAACTTCTCCAAAGCCTCTAACTTCTCAGATGTCATAGGCTATTGACCCACCCAGACGGGTTCATCTGTCAGCCATTTTAATGGTAGAGCTTTTGGTTGCTCTGTAGGTTTGGCACTAGCATCTTGCTTCTGTACAGCCTGTACATTTGGCATCTGTTTTCTGTAGTGTCTTACTATATTCTTACTACCACTAAGAGCTTGTCTATAATTCCTAGCTGATACAGGAGGAATTTTAATCTGCGTATTCCATTGCTGGAGTAGATCACGACCCCAGAGGTTTATAGCAATATCTGCAACATATGGCTTTAACCTTCCTCTCTGTCCTTCTGGCCCAATAAAGTCAATCCATCTAACGCTCTGTTTAACTTCAGATAGGGTTCCAATCCCTAAGAATTGAACATTAACCTCTTTTAAAGCCCAGTTGTGTGGCCAGGACTGCTGATTAAGGATAGTGACGTCACTTCCGGTGTCCAGTAATCCGTAAATCACCCTATTATTTACCTTAACTGGAAGTTTGGGTCTATGATATTGTATAGAAGTTTGCCAAAATATATGTTTTGTATCTCCTCCTGATGTAATTGATTCATCCTCTGGAGCTAATGTATTATCCAGTGCCGTATTATTTACAATGGGCAGTGGATCTTCTAATTGTCCTGGGAGAGGCTGTCCTCCACTGTCACTGGGAATGACCGGATAATCTTCCTTTTCGGGGCTCCATTGAGCCCCAGAACCCCGTTTCCCTGCTGTAAAGATCTACCTTGTCTGTCTATTGTGGAAAAGCATTCATCAGTCCAATGGCGCCCCTTCCCACACCTCCTGCATAGACCAGGAGGCTTAGGCCTTCTGTTTGATGCATTCCTGGTAAAAGCATTATTTCTAGGAATGCGTTGTCTACAGTTCCTACTAAGATGTCCTATTCTACCACAGTTAAAGCATTTTGCATCTTTACGCCTATTTAAATTCTTTGAGATTGCCTTCCCTACCCATGCCTCTATATCATCACAGGTAGGGTATTTGGCATCCTGGTGCCTCCTCAAGCCTGTAGAAATAGCTTCACCTACCCAAGCTCCTGTATCCTGACTTTTACATTCCAGGTTCGCTGTATGTAGGACCCATTCCTCCAATGGCGCTGATCTTATTTTTAATGGCCAAATTACCTGCCTGCATTGAGGATTCACGTTCTCATATGCCAAAGATTCTATAAGAAGACGCCTGGATTCTGGGTTCGCTACCTGTACTTCTACTGCTCTGGATAATCTCTCTAAAAATTCAGTGAACCTTTTCCTTGGGCCCTGTAATACTTTGGTGTAGGGTTGCATTATCTCTCCTGATTCACAAACCTTATCCAAGGCATTTAAAGCAGCTGTACGGCACAAAGACAACATGTGCTCGTCATATGCAGATTGAACCTGCGTGTCAGCGTAAGGACCCTCCCCAAGAATCTTGTCTTGGGGTACTTCATGACCGTTCTGTAATTCCTGAATTTCTATTGCTTTTGCTTCTTGCCTCCACAAAGCCCTCCATTGAATTTGACAAGAATTTTCGAGCACTGCAGAGGCTAATTGGGCCCAGTCTTTTGGGGTTACTTTATTTACAGTAGCCCATGAGGTTAGGAGCTCTCTGACAAAGGGAGAATGAAGACCATACATGACAATGGCCTCCTTAATATTTTTTAGATCCTTCATCTGTGTAGGCTCCCAGTGATAAGCAATGGGACCATTTGATTGTTTTTTCGTTGCTGGTTTTTCTGATACAGATACTGGAAAAACCATAGGGGAACGCATAGCAACCTTAGGGAAATCATTCCGGCATTTGAGAAGCTTTGGGAAACTCCTGTCCTGACCTGTTGCCTGTATTTCTGATTCTGAAGTATCAGATTGAGCATCTTCTAAATCCTGCAGTCTATTCATCATTGTTTCTCTGAGCTCCTGAAGTTCTTGGGACAAATAATTTTCTAAGGACGTCAT